CCGTCGGTTTCAAAACACACTCTATTAACATCACCAATTCCAGTTTAAATTTATCATCTTCGTCTTCATAGAGATGAAATGCTTCATACAGCATCTTCATACTAATTCTCTTAACACCAAGGAAATATTGATTTTTAAGTCGATTATTATGGAAGTCAAGATCAAAAGATACCTCGTGGCAAGGTAATCCCATAATAAGACAAAACTCTTGTAGACTAAAGCATGCGAAATGGTTGTCTAATTTCACTCAAAGTTCATTGTTTTTGCCACAATCTATAAATCTCAATACGAATTCGTGAATTAATTTGCTACAAAACGGTTGGTCTTCTTCTCGTCTATAAATCATTCCATTCATGATTGCATGGAAATTACTACATAAAGTCTGTTGATCAGCATTGATAAAATCCACAAAATCTTTTGCATATCTATAATTTGGAAACTGACTGATTGTAACCGAAAACCAGTGATTTGTAGATAATATATATTCTAAAGATATCTACAAAAATTATAAAAATACATAAAGATAAAAAAAACCAATAAATTTTTGGACTGTGTCTTGGAGACAGAGCATGTAGGTACAGTGTAGTGTCTACGTGCGGAGGCACGAAGTGTGTACCGTGTATACTGTGTCTCCGTGCGCCCGCACGGGGAGACATACCGTGCCTCCACTTCCCTTGGTGCCGACTACTTCTAACAAAACAAAAATTATATTTGCAAGTATATTTTTGTAGATATAACTTACCTTTTCCTGCAGTAGCTGAAAGATTGGAGATGAAAATTGTGAATTGGAGAAGAAAATTTTTCACAGGGAATTGGTGAGCAATTTTTTTTTTTTGCAGAGACTTGGTTATGAATTTGGGTAGATGAAAGTGTAAAGGGTGGGTAGTTGAGTGTGTATGTGAAAGTGTGAATGGATATAATTATAATTAATATTAAAGCCAAAATTTGTTAAAAATGATTTAATTGAGAATATATTGAAAAGAAAGAAGTATATGAACCATTACTTAAATATATACTAACAGCTGCATTATTATTACTGATGTGAAATTTGGAATGGAGATAAACTAAAGCACTATTTAAATATATGTTGTGAAAATTGGAATGGAGATGACTAAAACATTACTTAAATATATGCTGAATACAAGACTAAACAACAGTTATAAAACCAAATTGATGAGAACCACGTAG